AAATATATTAAAACAAATAAACTATAATAAAATAATATAACTAAATAAATTAAGTAAAATAGTATAAAATAAAATAACATAATTTTAAAGGAACAAAATAAAATCAAATACGAATTAAACTAAAAAAAGTATTATATTAATTTAAATTTAAATATAATAAACTAAAGTAAAGCAAAAAAAATAGAATATGATAAAACAACAGAAAATCAAAATAAAAGTAAATAAAATTAAGTATAATGAAATTAATTAAAAAATAAAATCAACAATAACATAAAAATTAAATAAATTTAATAAAAAATAAAACAAAATAAAAAGATGAAGAAGATAAATTAAAATGATATTGTATATTATAAAATAAAAAAAGTAAAATAAAATAGAATAAACTAATTAATCTAAGTCAAAATAAATAAAAAAATAATAATTAACCTAAAATGGAGGAAATAAAAAACATAAATAAAATAAAAGAAAATGATTGAAAAATAAAATAAAAATATAAAATAAAATGAGAAAAAAGTAAAAAAATGAAATAAAATGAATACATTATATAAAATAAAATACATTAATATAAAATAAAATTATATAAAAAAATAAAATAAAATACAATAAAATAAATTCAAATAATTTAAATTGAAATAAAATAAAGTAAAGCGAAATAAATCAAATTAAAAGAACGTTGAGTGAAGTAAAGTATAAAATAAATAAATTTAATAAAATGAAATGAAATGAAATTAATAAAATTAATCAAAATTTTGAATATTACAAAATAAATTAATTAAAAAAATTAAATCACATAAAATAACAGACAAAATTAAATAACTTAATAAGAAAATAAAATGAAATAAATTAAAATAAAATAGAATAAAATAATATAAAACTAAAATAATTATTTAAAAAAATTTAAAAAATTAAGAAATCAAATAAAAAGAAATAAAGTAATATAAAACAAAATAGGCTAACATGAATCAAAATAAAACAATATAAATTAAAAAAAAAATATATAATAAAAGTCAACAAAAAAAATTAAAAAATAAAATGAGAAAACAAAAATAAAGTGAAATAAAAAAAAATAAATAAGAAAAAATTATATAAAAAAAAAATAAATAAAAAAATAACATTATATACTTGTAAGAAACAGTAATATAAAATAAAATTATTTAAATAAAATAATAAAAAAAATTAAAAAAAAATTAACAAAACAAAATGTAATGAAATAAAATAAAATAAAACGAAATAAAAATAAATAATTAAATGAAATAAAACTCAGAAATAGAAAAAAATAAGTTTCTATAAAAAAAATAATATATTACAAAATAAATAAATATAAAATAATAAAAAACTACGGCTTTGCAACTTTAATGAAATAATTTTTAATCAACTTCTTGTGATATGTCGTTTCCTTAGAAGTAAGTATAAGTATACATATATAATATATATTATATCTTAGTACGCTCCACCGCGTTCAGCGCCATTTAAGCTGGCAATAAAACACGGAATTGAAATTTTCCAGAGATCTACATTGACCGATTATGGCATAAGTATACTACCATATGTAAGTTTATTTAGCTATTTGTGTACATACACACGTATATGTATATACTGTAATGCTTTAGTAATGGCTTTCCATAATGTGCCATTCAGGATAGCCAACTTGGTGGACTATCACCACTAGATGTTTAATTTCTCATTTCAGACGTTAATTCGCAACAAAACATGCGTATAAACAATTGACAAATGGCATGAAATAAAAAAAAACTGAAAGCAATACTAGATGATAAGTAAAGAGCACATTAAAACAAACAGTAAATAAAACAAGTGACAACAAAAACAAACACCTACTTAAATAACAAATCGCATGAAAATCGAGCAATAAGAAGAAACAGACACAATAAATAGTTAGTTTAGTAACCAAATACCAAAGCTATCCAATGCGCAGCTGAGGGCGGCGAGCTAAGTAGTAGTCAGTAAGCTAGATAAGAACTGGGTGGCGTTGTGTGTGTGTGCTAACTAGCGGGCAACCATGCAACCATTCAATAATATTTATTTGGGGAAACCGACATGTGAGCTTAGCCAAGGGTTGGCACATATACTCGTATTTTATATACTCGTATGTACATGAGCATGTAGTAATGTATGTAAAAGTAATGTTTCGCTAAAGCATATTGCATACATTTCCTGCTCCAACCCAAACATTAAATTAAATCCCAATGAGGTGGGGGGGGGGGGCACTGCCAACGGTGGGCACACTTTTGGTTATTGGGCTTGACTGGGCGTTGGAATATTGGCTCGAATCGAGTAGAAGCAGTAATTTACGAAACCAAACTCTGAAGTGAACATTCCAAAGGGGCGCGCTGTGGGTTGGCTGTTGGTTTCCATTCAGAGATGGACAACTAAATTGTTGCAAATATCTGCAATTGGAGCTAAAGAAACAAATATACTTACATATACGTACTTGGGGTATATACAATATATTGTATCAGGTACACATGATGCGCGTTTGTGCTTTAGAGTGAATTCTTATGTCTGCCTGTTTGTTTGTGTATTGGAATGTGGTTGGAGAGTAATGTCCGTTTCAGGAAATTAAGTTGCCACTACGGCTTATGCTGCCGCTCTAACTGTCAAATAACGTTATATGAGTAAATCTTCTACATTCAAAGCGCAGACTGACTGCCCGACAGGGTGGCAGAGTAACTGAATGAATGCCGAATGACCATTACTTGGTCAAAAGTACTTCAGATGGGCGGAATAAACTTTTGTAGAGCATTTCGTTTAATTTTGGTAATGTAAGTGTTATGCAAACTAGTTACCAAACCAGTTCTTTTTGAACTAAAATTGGACTGGTTGTCAAGTTATCAGTAAAATTTAATAAAAAAAGTTAATGAATATATTAAGTATAAAAAGAAGTAGATAAACTAGTTACAGTACTACATTTTTATGGGATAAAAATTACCCAAACGGCAAATACAATGCAACACTTTTTTCAAATAAAATTCGAAATTAAATTGAAAAATTAGCTCGGGAATGCTAATTTCATATAAGTGCAAGGTTCGGGCAAAATAGGTATGTTATATGGAATTATTTCGGGACTTAGGTCAGCCATTTAAAGGTACCACTTTAGTGCATGTTAAAAGTTCTGTTTTGTTTGTTCAAAAATTCCTGAGAGTGGAAAGTAAAAGGTCCGTTATATTGTACAAATGCGTAATTGCTGCTCGCTTATGTTCTTATTAAATGCGGGTGGTTCATACCAGACTGCGGGAATTATAGGTGTAACGTTTCATAAAATTCTGTGCTCAGTCTTCTGAGATATACTTTTTGACCCAAATGAGGGTTATGCCACACCCACCCGTATTTTTTAAAACCTCATATTTTATCAAAAATGAGTTCGCTCAAACAAAGACTGCCTATTTCATTTTCATGGTTTTCAAAACTACCATTGTATGGGAGGTTGACGTCAGCCTGGTCCGATTTCAACTATATACAATAGCGTCCGTACTTCTGATCCAATCCATACTTTAAGATGCCTCAATGGATTTGTTTCGTCCTTCTATGAAGTTTGATATATGCTGATCTAGTAAAAAGTCATCCAATATTTTTGCAATAGTCGGTTTTGACTTAAGTCTGTAGTGTTTGAGCGTGTATTCTACGTTATTTCTTCGATAAAGGCGAAAAAACACAGCTGAGGCAGCTGAAAATTGGTTACGTCGATTTCAAAAACCAGTTTAAAACCATCCGAAAAAGGCTGAAGCTCGATGAAAGGGTGCCATATAAGCTAACGTTATAAAAACCCTAAGAGCACAATTTCCATTTAAGTACAAATCGGTGAATCACAACACAATCGACCCATTTCTGAAACAGATGGTGACTTGTGATGCAACATTTATAGCAACGTCAAACGAAAACGGTCGTGGTCGGAGCCGTACAAGCGATCTCCAAGGCAGTATTGACGGCCAGGAAGGTTTCGCGTGTTTTATGGGATTCGCAAGAAAGCATCAACTATGAACTGATCTACTACGGCCAAACTTTTAATTGTAGCTTGTACTGTCAGACATTTGGATCGTCTGAAGAGAGCAAAGGGTTCAACTTTGGCCATCAGCGGAGGAACTGCGCTTCATCTGAACAACTTCAGACCGCACAGAGCTTAACTGGGAGATTCTTATGCAACCACCTTATAGTACGGACCTCACACCAAGTGATTACCATATGTTTCTGTCTACAGCGAAAGAGTTGGCAGGCGAAAAATTGATCTCAAGAAAGGCCTGTGTAAAACGATGGCAAAAAGTTATCGAGCAAAACGGTGCATATTTTAGATAAATCGGTTAAGAATGATGGATGACTTTTTACTAGACCATATTATATATGTTATGTCCATATCATTTTTGATTTTTTTTATGCCGCTGCATACAACTGTCTGTTGAGCAAACTTTTTGTACGTAGTTAGTCTTGAACACCTGAAGCATGCTGCTCTTCATTGTAGAGAACACTTGTGTCCCTCTAGATGGCAAATCGTTTTACTACTGGGTATGCAAATGGACACAAAATAATGAATCCGCATGGAGTAAAGTACGTACATACATATGTTTGAGTACATGTTCAAGTTTGTGGGTTTATGCTTTTATTTTCATTTTAATTCAATTTCAACTTTGGCAACTTACGAATAAAAACGAGTTTCATTGACAGTCAAGAGTTAGTTAGGCTCCGATTTGTATGTTTGCATGTCTGTATGTTAGTATGTTTGTTCTTATCTATCCTTTATGCTCACTTTTGTACATCGTTCATCGCCTTTAATATCAGCTTTATTGACACTTTGACGTGACAGGCAGGCGCCCAAAAGAGCAATGTGATTACATAGAGAAATTCTATGGATTCTAAGGCGAAGTTCGCCGCTCGACTATTGACCGCTTAACCTTTGCTGCTAGTTGTCATTTCAGTTCTTATCTTTATTTTCATTTTGTTGCTCTTCTATTTGATCACCAACCATTACGAACAAAAACTACGATACTCACATTATTAAATCTTTCCTGGAGTAGGGAAAGCGCTTCTTCGAGTTCGACAATCCGATTTTCCAGTACCTCCTGCGGAGAGACCAATAAAAAAGAAGAGAGAAAAAAGAGAGTGCGAGAGATAGCAAAATAATAAACGATGAATTTAAAAAATTTAATTTTGTTAAACAAATTAAATTGTTTTTATTTTTAAAATTTTTTTTTAACTTTTCTTTTTTAATTTTAATTTATGATTTTAATTACAGGTGCGTATTTAAACATTTTTTATTATTATTACTATTTATTTTGAATACACCAATTGTTGTTGCGTAACCATAGCCATATTTTAAATAATTTCCCAATGTTTATGAGTGTGAAAAACTAAGCTTAGTGCGAAAATGATGATTTATGAGGATGCTTTTTAGGCGGGTATTTATGTATATATGATGAGTGAAGCAAGCGAGGTTAAACCTTCTAACCTTCTACAATCTTAGGATGGTGTCTACTGGTTACTGGTATCTCTAGGGGTCATTTTAATTTATAAATTTGTAAAAGCGTCGTAATCTTTTGATACTTTTTTACTTAATCAATCAATGGGATTTCCGAAAGAGTGTTTACGGGTAGGGAACTAATACAAGTTTTAACTATTATAACTACAGGGTTAAAAAATAAACAATTTTTAATTTTTATTTAGAAATTCTTATAGAAAAATATATTTTTATTTTTTTATTTTTATTTCAAATTTAGAAGAAAAGTCCGCTTGAAGCTTATTACAGTGTGAAAATATTAACCCTTAAGGACATTTTGCACAATACAAATTAGATTAGTGTGTGTGGGGTCCACTAGGCCAGGTAGAGTTAGGTTAGCTTAGGTTAGGCTAAGCTATATGATCCATTGGGTCTCACGTAAACGATAATACCCCCATAGAATTGCCAGGCACACTACATGAGATACTGCAACACAACCCTAGTCTCTAGTGTGATGAACATTGCTGTTCTTTTCGCGAGCTTAAGTAGTGATTCTGGCCACTTGGCCATTGCCGTTTGAAGATCCGGTAGCTTTACCGCGCCAAGTATGCATAGCTTTTGCCTACCGAATGCCGGACATTTACAGAGTACATGCTCCACTGTCTTCAGACATTCCTTGCATTTCTTATGTTTGTTGTCCCTAGTAGAACCCCTATTAAACGCATGAGACACCAAAAGGCAAAACCAGGTTAGTAGACGTATCAGCTGCTTGGAGTCCGGCCTCTTTACAGATAGTACAAACTTTGTGAGTTGAGTGTTGTATGTTTTACACATAGTTTTTGCGATTCCGCAACCCTTAGCTTGTTCCCAGAGTATATTCACCTGACGAAGTACTATTACTTCTTGCTTTTGCTTAACTTACTTGAATGGAACTCGGAGCTTCGCTGCGGCATTCTGTTCTAAATAGACACCTTCCCGAGCAAGTTGGTCAGCTATCATTACCTTCAATGCCCGTGTGGCCTTCCACCCAGTGAATGTACACTGTTCTTGAAACGCTGCTTTACAAAATGCGTCCACAGCTTACCTTGTGCTGTGTGAAATTAAGGCCTTTATGGCCGCTTGACTATCCACATAGATGTGTATTCTTTTTCTTTGAAAGCCGACACAATGCAGCAGCTTTGCCGCCATTTGAATAGCAAACATTACGGCCTGGAAGATATTGCAATGGCTTGGTAGCTTATACGACTTCCTTATCTTCAGTTGGGCGCAGTGAACTGAATTCGTTCGTTCATTTTAGAACCATCTGTGAAAACGTGAAGAGCACACTTAAGACCTTTGCTCTAGCCATTTGCCTCTATTGTAGCTTAAAAGATTTTTCACATTTTATTGATCTCATACTTATTTTTCATTCGTGAGAATAAATGAATAATTTTCATTCACTTTTCTGTGTAAATACTAGTAAACTGCTTTGTATTATTTCCCCCAACCATAAATGGCTAAAGGAAGTATTAAGATGTAGTATTGGCACACACATCATAAATATTTATAAGCTTACATAGTCAAACACACATATGCACGCATACATACATATATGCCTTTAAGTGCAATTCTATTCCAGGAGCTAGAGCTGGTTTACAGCACATACTGCACATGCGCACAAGTGGTCGACGGACGTTTCACGCGCGCAAGGGCTGACTCGTCACGCTCTGTGGTGCACTGGTGCGGCGAGTACAGTACGGTGCGTCAGAAGTGCAATGAACTTGCATTCGCAATCAAAGTGCGCAAAGTGCGTCACAAAAAATCCAACAAAGTTGAAACACTACACTTGGCTTACGAGCCCGGCAAAGTCCAATCAGGTTCAGCTCAGTTCAGTGCAGTTGCCCATATGGATGTAGAGTATAGAATATGAAAAGTGCAACCAGTGGGCAGCAACAGTGGGAATCAAAATAAACACAGAAACACGAGAAAAGAAAATAAAAGATAAAACAACTGAAATTCTGCAGTAGCAAAAAGTGTTTGTGACTCCTGCTTATTTGGTGTGCCGCGAACGTGACCGCGCATTTGACGCTGCTGCAACGAACGCAATGTGCAATTTTCATTTTCGAAATTTTTGCGTGAGGGATTTTAATTCATACACAATTCTAGAGTGACTTACAGCAGAGCGTTGAGCACTGCGGTTGCAGTTTGTTCTTGTGGTGGTTATTTACAGCAAATACAAATGGCGTATTTTGCACTGGGACTTACACCTCCATCTATCTATATGAAGTCCAGCCATTCATATATACGTCGTTTAGACCAAAATTTTCTCACTCGGCAGATATGTGAACAAGTAAAATTCCCGCATTTGAGGCACCGAAAATTCTCAAATAATTGAGGAGAGTTCAGTAAACCAAGAACAGCTTACTGTTTGATACGCTCTTTCGTCCGGAGGTATGATTTGACTTTACTTCTTTGAAAACTAGTACGGCGGGACTGTCAATTCGGAGTGTTGTAGTAGTATGATAATCGTAGACTTACGAAAATGGCATTTTTTCGAGAGAAATTTCTCTCGTCTCGGCGAAGTCAGTTGACCACCGAGATCGTGCGATTTGACGCCGTTGGTCCTTTTTTTGTGGGGTTATGCGAAATACCATGTATATGAGGATAAGCCCTTCACTTGAAAACCAAAATTACTCAATTAAAAAAAAAGAAGGTTTACGAATGAAATTATTCAAATATCGCGATACAGAGATTTAGAATGCTTAATAGTGGAGAAATTATTAAAGAAATTGCCACATGTAACAAAATTTTAATGCAATTTAACTCATAATGAAATGTAAAAAAACAAAAGGAATTTGGATTACTGAATTCCTATTTGATTTCATTATCTATTTGGTTTATATAATCTCATTTATTATTTTTTATACTATTCAAGTTTATTTCCCCTTATTGCATTTTAATCAGTATATATTATTTAATTTAATTTAATATACCTAAATTTTATTTTATTTTATTTTATTTTATTTTATTTTATTTTATTTTATTTTATTTTATTTTATTTTATTTTATTTTATTTTATTTTATTTTATTTTATTTTATTTTATTTTATTTTATTTTATTTTATTTTATTTTATTTTATTTTATTTTATTTTTTTTTTATTTTATTTTATTTCTTTCAATTCTTTTTTTTTATTTTTATTTATCTTACTTTACCTTATTTCATATAATTTTAATTTAATTAATTTTATATTATTTGATTTTACATTATTTTATTTTATTGTTTTTGTTGTTATTTCTTTGCATATATTTTTTATTTTATTGCATTGTTTTTTTATTTAATTCAAATTTTCGTAGCACCGCACACTTGTCTTACTTGATCCCACCACGAATTTAACTCTTCCTTATTTGTTTTTGTTGCAGTTGTCGCTTCTCCTTTATTTTTATAAGAGCACAATAGTAATTGCTGACAATAGAATTTCTACTACTTGTTAGTGGTGCGACTGATAAATGCGCGCTGGCGAGCTATTAGCGAAATTACAGAGATCAAAGAGTCAACCAATGAAGGGAGAGCGTTGGAAGCCTCTAGGCAAACATATGTGTATACAAAGCGCTTATAATGGTAATGAAAATCACATATCAGCATAAATACTCTTTGCGTAATTCTCATATGTATGTCTGTACATAAGTATGTTTATACATATTTGCCCACTTAAGCCCTCCATTTGCGGCAGCTGTAACTAATGCTCTGCACTGCAACTAGTAATTGTTAAGTGGAAGAGATCAATTGTCGAGGAAAGCGCAGCTTCGCCATTTAATAACACCAACACTTATGCACGGTTTGCACTTAAATCTGCACAGTTGCGCCGTTGCGCATGCGCAAACACCTCACTGCCAGCCGTCGCGACTATGTCTGTCTGGTCTTGGCCTAATACGGTTCGACGTGCGGTGGGACGGGTGAAACCACATATTCTCGTTGGTATTTTCCGCACACTGGATGTCTTCTACGACTGGCTGAGTTCACTAAATAAATACCGGGATGCTGGTGTATTGAGTACTCGTAAGCATGTTGTTGGCTCGTGGTTGTGGCAACCGTCAAAGCGATTTTCTTACTAGTTATTACTTCCATTTTTCGTTGTTGGTGTTATTGCTTTAGTTGTTGTGTTGCTGTTATTGTTCCTCCAGGTTGTTGCTGCTGCATCAATAAGCATTAAATATACAAAGGAATTGCGTGTCTACCACAATCAACTCTTTGTCAGTAGTCTTGTTAAGTCGTTACGTGGAAATGCAGTTACATGTTACTACGCTATTGGTGTTGTTGTTGTTGTTGTGCTGTTGTTCGTTAGTTGTTTGATTTTGATTGCTAAATACGAGCAGTTAACGCGTTTCAGGTGAGCACCAATGTAATTGCGAAACTCCACTGAAACGCACATGCATATACATATATATATGTATATACTCGTATATATATAATTTAGTCCAATATTTATAAATATGTATGTACATATGTATCTGAGACATTATAAAGTCCAATGTAGATACATACATATGTATGTAAGTATGATATGTATGTATATATGTATTTTATTTTTCACATTTTTGTTTAAATATTTGATCAATGGCATTTGACGTTTTCAAAAGTCTGTATTT